GGGCTTTCGTGAAAACCTCTAACGGACTCATCCTGAACTAAGCAGTTTAGTCACTCGCTATCACCATCATCACCATTACAGGGGACTGATCTGATTCATCCCTCTCACACGCATCACATTACACAAAACCATCCCGGAGTTAAGAACCTGGGGGAGGACGTGAACCGTGTGTGGTGCGATGATGTACTCTCACAGCGGCCTGGTTTAGATGGTCTCTAAACAACAAACACTCTACAGATTGTTGACAGGCTGTGTTCTTGAGCCTGCCAGCAATCTGAAATCAAGGTTTGCATTAATGCTGTAAACTCACGCAAGCCCTACATGAATAATTTACAACAGGCCTGAATATGAGTAATGACTTTAATCTGCGCATTATTTTTGTACTCTTTGTGCTTTTAACTCCTTGTTCTCCTGGTAGATGAAAGGGGTCAGGCCTCTGGCTTGTTTGCCTGATCCATTATCTGCAGCCTCTAATGTCAGTGGTAAATTTCAGCCGCCCCAAACAAAGATAAACACAAAGGCCAGGGTCCCAGAGGTGGCCACGACTGTTCAGCATCATCCCTGCCAAACCAGGGCTGTCGATCTAATCAGCCATCTGATGAGGCCATTCCGGGGTGCTCACTTGCTTGGTTCAGGTCAGAGCCTAAAATACTGTCCCCTTAAAAGCACAGGGAGAGCAAAAAGCAATAACATGTAGAACACACATCAGACAATTTGCTGCACACACTGAAATCCCATTAAGGCCGGTTTCTGCAAAACTAAGAAACAAGGAACAGTACATTTGTTAATTTGTTAAAATAACCTCTTCATCTTGTTCACACACAACATCTACAAATTTCTACACAGCTCAAATTAATTACAAGTAATTTATAGCAGTATTGCAGATGAAAAAGTTGAAATGCATGACAGCTATCCTGTGCAATATGAGCGCCTGTGTGCTGGGACCTTCGTACACATCCAGACCCAGCAATCCCTTTCATGTCTGGTGTGTCATCTTGAGCTGGGCAGGAAGCTTGTGTTTTGCTTGTCTGAGCTTGTCTGCTGCCAATGGTTTTATATGCGTGAACTCAATGAGAGTAGCAAGCCTCAAACTCACGGTGCGAAACATAAAACCCCCCAAAACAATCACTGAAAGGCCAAAGCAGTGAGTTCACAACAGTTTCCTGCATTTGAAGCCACAAAACTCGCCTAAAATGCTTCCTCTCCTCCTCAACTGGCTGCAATTTAAAAGTATGAATCAAGTACTGTCTCTCCCTGGTGATTATATTATAAATACACAGAACATATTGCACGCATGTACATCCGTTCTTTATTATTTAACCCTCTCAGTGTCGATTGGTTGAGTTCTTTTTGCATGTGCAGCTTTGCACCATCCTGCTGGGTGGCTCTAAAATCTCATTGTGCCTCAAGTCTTAATGGGCCTGGGGTGATCCTGGCTGTTTACACGGGGCTTTACCGGTGCATTCTATCTACAGTCCAACCCTTGATACTGCGTTCTGGCCTGCTGTGGTTCAAATAAAGGAATCAACACAGAGCTGCTCCCCAGCCAAACGAACATTAGGTCACTGATAGTAGTACAATAGTAGTAGTAGTCTCATGTCTTAGCTGTTGCAGACTGATGGATAGAGAGAGAGAGAGAGAGAGAGAGAGGGGGGGGGGAAGGGAGATCACATATATCTTCTGAATGTCATGCAGCAGACAAGCACTGCAAAGAACATCTCAGCCTAAAGCCGGCCTCCTTTCTCAGCTCACACGGAACAAATCTCTCAGAAACAAGGATGTCTGAGTGATCTGTCAAAAGCAAATGTCAATCTATTTTGTCATCGACACTCAAGATTCCCGCTTGCAAAAGTCCTCGAGGTGCAGCTGAATCAGCCCACCCCTTTCATTCTCTCATCCTGCAGCATATCATCAACGAAGCCAGGGAGGAATTGTCAGATCGGTGTCTCTGACAAGGGTTTGGAGGGTAGGGGAAAAAACACAATCCACACAAACAAATAGACACACACACATACACACACACACACACCCTGCCCTTGCAGCTTCCCATAAATATCCTACAAGATGAAACTTTGCCCACAAGCCACAAAACTCTCTCTCTCTCTCTCTCTCTTTCTCTCCCTCCCTCTCTTTTTGTCTCCAGTCCTCCTGGCAGACAGGTGTCCACGCAGCTGCCCATCAGCATCCTTCAGAGCAGCAGCCTGTCTATCCTCTATCCGATGACAACATTCGCTTTCCTTCGCTCTTAGCGTTCACTTCATCCATTCAGTCAAGAAATGCAGCGAGCCAATTAGAGCGAATGCAGCTACAGTAATAAGAGCAAAGCTTCCATGCTTGAGCGCTTTAAAGATGTTTGTGTGCCACTCTGGGGTATAAAGTCATTAGAACTTTGTAAGAAAAGTTTTTTGTTAATGTTCCAGTCCTATCAATCATCTTTCATCCAAAGTGCATTTCAACCATAAGGATACAAACTCAAAAGAACAAGAAACAAGAAAGTGCAATTTCATAAAATAAGCCTGTTTACAACTTTCTATAGATAAGAGCCATCACAGGTACAATTTAAGTGCTACAATTTGTTAGTCCTTATTTCTGGACTCATCTGAGTCCAGATGCGACAAGACAATCCTGTGTTTGGTTAGATGGAAAATCAAAGATCAACGGCGGATAACAAGAATTGGTTACTACAACCAAAACGGCCGTATCCCATGTCTGCAAGCACGTATCCAGGAGACCACAGAGGAAGGTATTTGTGTGTGTCTGTATATTAGTTGAAGAAACATTTAAATGTTTGCAATTGGCCAGCTGGCCTGTCTAGATAGCCTTCACATCCTCATGCACTGCCGTGTCAGAGCCTCAAGGCACCGAGGATGCACCCCGTAAATATTTTGATTTAGCTCCATCATGTAGTGTACACACAGAGATACACAGTAATACACAAAGATACATAAACACACACATCATGCTCAACTTATATTGCCCATGTAATTCAAAACTACAACATTTATTTTGAGACTGAGGTGCAAGAATACAAGTTGGAGGAAAAGGGGGATTTGAGAATGAAATAAATAAATAATAAAAATTCCCAGCAGTAGACAAAATGATAGGAAGCGCTGTATTATCTCCTTCTTTTTTAAATCAAGCATTTATTCATGTCTCTGGTGAGGCTCTCGCGCTTGCTTACACAAGAAAAAGCTTTCAGTGGCATCGGCAGCTGCATTCATGCTGCACAGGTACGCTGCCGGCTCTTCACACAGCTGCCTCTGGCAACGTCGCTCTGACTCCAGGTGCGCTTTCCCCTCGACACCTCAGCCCCCCCCCCCCCGCCCCTCTCCACCCTCCCCACCCCCCCCATCCCCCCACTGCCTCCAGGGACAGGGACACAAACATGGGTCTTGGCTGATAACCAGTAGCTTGGACATGCTGCAATCTAAAACAGTCACTCTAACCATTTGCAAGGGCCACAAGTAGCTCTTCACACCTACAAATAGTTCATGCCTCAGCTACTCCTCCAATAGCAACATCCTAACACCTCTTAAGAGACGCCAGACCACGTCCCACTCAAACGTTTTCCACATGCAGCACCTATTTAAAGAAATAGCTTCATGTTTCCCTTTCTCGGTCGGCAGGTTACAAGATGCCTATAGCCCGTTATTCAACACTACCATCCTTTTCTCTTTCAAACGGGATCAAAGACTACCTGGGACAATTCCTCCGAGCTCCGGGCTTATTCTTCTGAGCAGCACTGAGTGACAAGAAGAAGCTGCATTTTATCCCGTGCTCTTTCACTGTTTTTTTTTTCCTTCCCTATCCAACATTGTACTGCTTGATTGTACTCTTATGAGTCACAGAACCGCACCTGCGCCCATATGTTAAGTACCGTCGAATAAAAGCACAGCTTCCATTTACACAACAAAGAGATGCAACCCGTGAAGCGACCATTCTCTACCTCCCTCCCTCCGTCTGACAAGACCGCAAATATATCACTTACTCAAGAGGAAGGCAAAACACGTTGCCGCTGCTGTCAGTGAGCGCTTCGCTCCCTCGCGCTCCGACAAACTTCTTTTCAAATACAAATCCAGAAACAAAACACATGCCAGCCTTTTATGTTGCACGGCCTGTTTCATATTTGATTTCAGAGTAACAGCAGCAGAGGTGACGATTATCAAAGCTCTGACACGTAAATCCCGTCTCAGTCTCCCTCAACAAATAATAAGAAAAAAACCCTTTTATTGTTTAAGGGTATAAACCAGTTGCTTCTTATTAAAAAGAATCATTGTCTTGTACCAGTTCTACCGTCTCTAGTTCGAATTTAAGGCAAGGCTTAGTAAAACCTTTGCCAATGCACCAGGGCTTCAACAATGAACATGTGACTTAGTGCTTTATGCATATTAATGATCTCCAACACAGCCTGTCTAAGCAAATGCAAGCTGAGCTCCACACTTCTCTGCATCCTAATGGTTTCTGCTCCACCGGGGATCATTACCAATAGAAATTTTAGATATTCCGTGCTATTAATCTCTGTCTGTCGTCCTGTTCGGCTACGTAATGACTAATTAAACATCAAAAGAGCAGAGCTGGGGATCTGCTCTGACAGCCTCCCTTTCTCCCAGGAGAGGCTGAGAGGAGGCTAGACTGTGACAGGGCACCACTGAAAATCAATCACCTCGCGCTGCGCACGTGTTTGCAAGCGATCACGCACACGCACATCCATGCATGTGGTTACACATGTACACACACACGCATATGCAACCACAACAACTGCACAGCAGAAACGTGCCCTACGGAGACATGTTCATCTAACAATAAACAACGAGTATAAAAAAGTCAGTCTTAGATTATCAGACAGCTGTGGTGTCTCTGCTGAGCCACAAAAACAAAGCAAATTCCCATCCAAGAGCTGTGAATGTGAAGTCAAGAGCACTCTTTGTTTGCAAGTGCTGAGAGGGAGGGTGTGTGAGTAGCATACATGTGTGCGTGTGTGTTTGCTTAGGTAAGCTCACTCTGGATCTATTTATACGAGAGGTAGATGATCTTCCACTCACAGATGAAGGGAGGCCAGGAGGGACCTTGCGAACCTTTTTTGTTTGTGGAGGATCTGCGGAGAGATGAAAGCACATCTAGTCATTCACAGACAAAAAACCCTGAATGTGTTGTAAACAAGGCACAGCTCACTATCAAAAATCTACTTTGTGGTTCTGTTCTGTATAAAATATTATTTGGAATTCAACTGGGACAAAAACAACCTTTAAAAGAAAATTACAACTTCAGTTATAAATTGTAAATTACACAATATACTAAATCCAGAGTGCCACTTCAAAAAAGACAAAAGGAAGTTTAACGATTTTTTAACAAATGAGTGTCAACACACGTCTCTATACAGCTGTCGTCATTGAACTTTAAGACTTGAGTGAAACTGTGTTGACAAGAAGTATCCAGTTTGATTTTTTTAATTTTGAGGTTGTGACTATTTTTAATATTGCATGCACATGGTCCTGAAGAGAAAACTATTTGAAATATAATATTCAAGCCAATTTGTTTTAATAATTGAGATGGCACTGACTGATGGGCGGAGGATCTTGCAGAGGACGTCTTCTAGGATTCGCTGCAGTGAAGGAATAGAAAGGAGCTGCGGACTTCCCCGACGGAGTCACTGGACTGGCACTCGCCAACGACATGTCTGCTTTACCAGAAGAAGACTGAGAGAGAAAAAAAGGCTTATCATTACAGGACAATACCAGCTTTCTTTGTCAGAAATGAGTGTGCTACACCTTAGATGTTTGTAGTAAAAAATAATCTGGTAGTTGGCTAGTAATTTCAAGCCCCATCAACTACATTGTTTTAATTGTCTCTATTTATATAATGCCATTTGGATTAATCTTCAAAGATAGTTTTGTCCTAAATAATACATCAGAAACTAAGCACACAAGCATTTACGGCGTGTTTACAGTTAATAGCCAATTAAGCATCACAATCAAACATGCAGCATGAAACATTGCTGCTATGGATGTACAAATAGTTTTTTAGTTGACTATCATCTCACTCATTAGATGACCTTTAACCCCTGTTTATTCTGTATCCCTGGATGGACTGTGGACAATCCCCACATCATCCTATCATCAATATCTGTCTAACCCATCTACAATCTAGAGCCCCAACAAACTGGGCGGAGAGCCCAATTAAGAGATTGAATTAGTGTAATCGCCTGCAGACCAATAGAGCCGGGATCAAGTGAGCGAGTACAACACAGCGATGTGCACTATTGGGCTGGTAAACGCAACTCATGTGGCCTCCAGTACTGATCAAATCAAAAATTATTTTAGGAAAAATTATTTTCAGTGTAAAAGTACATGTATGAAATGCTCTATAAAATCATTATTTATCTGAATTTAAATGTGCGTCATAACAAACTGTCTCAAGCAGCGTAAGGCAAATATTAAAGAAAGTGAATCGTGCAGCGTTCACGTGTCACCACAGAAACGCTTCCGCCGCGGCCTTTGTCCAATGATATTGAATACTTGCAGCAACACTGGCTCTGGCCTCCTTTACACCATTGTAGATACACAGGGATGCACATTTGGATTTAGTGATGGAGATATTTCTGCCTTCAGTCACTCCATAACTCTAACTCAAGAGTTAGAGTTAGTTAGTTACTCAACAGGTCAACATTTCAAGTGCCTTCTTTACATCTTGTTGAGCTTTGTAAACTCTTCAAATTAGATCTTCAGCCCCACGTTGAACCTCAGACACTCATAGAAAGTGAGAGATGTTGAAACCAAATCTAAAATGATTAGGAAGCAACCCAAAGGTGTGGAGTTCTGTGAAGAAGTGATACACTCCCAGTCCTGTTAGAAGCACGCCTGCTTTGCTTGTGGTATTCATAATGAAGGCAGCTTTTATCGAGAAAAGAGTCAAATGATTCACAGTAATCTAACTGTGGGCCATGAAGCTATGAATTCCCTTTTCGACAAGAGGGAAGGTCTAATTTTAGCTACATTTAAAACGTAAAACTAATGTGTTGGATCTGAGTTTTAACTCTTTATCATACACTAAGCCGCCGATAACACTACATACATACAACAATTTAGAACCAGAGGTTCAGGTAAACCAGTTCTATCGGTTTTAGGGAATACAGAAGCTGATTTGTTTCATAAATAATGCCTATAAGTCATCTTAGAACTCACCTGGCCACAAGATGCTCCAGGGTTCCTCCCGTAGCCAGGAAACGGAGCCCTCTCTGGTTTACCTGTAGAAGCAACAAGGAGCATCACTCATTTAAATGAATCAGTTACTTAGCTTTAGCAGTTAATTTCTGTTGTTTTAATTGTTTTAACTTTATCACCAATTATCTGTCTGACATGGTCTGTGTGGGACCTTTGGAAAAACTAAGGGGTGTGTTTCCTTTTTCAAAGTCTGTGTTCTGAATATAATCTGGTGCTGCCTTGAAGCAAAAGAGGGGAAAATAAATTGCATTTCATATAAAATGCAACTCCCTCAGATCCCTTAACAATGCTTTATGTACTAAATGTACTATCCAAAAAGAAGTTTAGAAAAGCCACATCCCAACTTGCACTTTTGTAAAACAATGTCATTTTTTAAGTGTTCAGTTTACAAAAGTTAATCACACATGTGACAAACATAAATAAGTATTTATACAAAGTAATAATTGTCACAGTCCTTTTATAAGTGTCCCATTAGACACTCAAAGGAATGCTCCCGAGCAGCTATCAAGGGCAAAAAAAAGAGCTGGTTTTACTCTCCTGGAAAAAACAACAAACATACAAAGTCAAGCTCCTCGGTGAAAATGATGAATAACTAACAGGGATGTCCATTATTTTTTTCAGACTTCCAAATATTACAAGCACAGACATAAATGTGACATAAAATGGATAAATATGTTAATATTCTTTTGTGAGTTTAAAACTTTCATACCCTGTATATTTTGTTACACAGTGAAGGTTTGAATATTACTTTCACACGTGCAGGTGAACAGAGGCACATATGAGAGAATTCACAATTCAATGCTTATCTGTGCGTCCTGCACGAGGGAGTTGTTCTGCATCCGAGGCGACCGTCTCTAGAGACAAAGGAAGCTCAGGGAATCAGGGAAGACGGTTGAACTGGCAAAGCTGCTTCTCTTTTAACAATAATGTGAAACAGTTCTGAGCCATCGCTCTTGCAAAAGGAAATAGGATTAAGTTGTCGGTTACCAACACCGTTCCCTATTGTGGCAGTATGATGCAACATCCCCTTAGATGGGGAATTTTAATTTCTGTGTATACGTCTAATATCTAAAGGGGCTTTAGTGGAATTCATTTTCACTCCTAAAATGGACCTAAATATGCATTGGCAGCATGTGCTTTGTCACACACACCGTGTCTTTAGTGAATAATTGATGGTCACTGTTGTAGTTTCAGGGCTCTCCGGGGCCGACAGATGTGTTTGTGAAACAATGTCTCAGTCCATACTGTGAGACAGAAAAGAAGCCGCACAGCGCTCCCCAAAGCCTGGCGAAAGAAGGTCTACGAAGACATTAAATCAACATTAAAGTCTAGATACACAGGAATGCACAGTATAACCAAAGAACCACTGAGCTTATATCATGCAACGGACACTTTCTTCCCAAAGCATCCATACCTGTTACTAAATTATCATGCTCGGTTTATGCAACTTAAAAAAAAAATACATGGTTGATGTTCATGCCACAATATTATATATGACACGTCAAGTACTGGCTGAATCATACTCCTCTATTGCTAATCAGTCTGGATTTGAGCTTTTAAAATGTAATGGAGAGGATTGCTCTAGGAGGCACAAATGCACATATTCAAATTATTACATTACATTACATTACAGGTCATTTAGCAGACGCTTTTATCGAAAGCGACTTACATTACACTTTAAACCCATGGCTTTTTCACATTTTTGCCTGGGGAGCAATTAGGGGTTAGGTGTCTTGCTCAGGGACACTTCGACATGGAACATGGGGCAACCTGGAATTGAACCACCAACCTTGTGCTTCCCAGCACACCTTCTCTAACCCCTGCGCCACAACAGAGTGCATGAATTATGATTGCAAGAAGTTGAAGCTAATATTGTTCATTTAGTATATTTATGGATGACACAAGTCAATTGAATCTTCTTTCATATGTGGAAAGATAAAATTCAGTGCTACTCATCATGTGTATTAGGAATTAGGAAAACATGAACAATAAATTCATAGGATGAGCAGCATTAAGGATCAAAGTATTCAATCGTAGTGGAAAGTCTTCCAAAAACGCCATCGACAGACCTGCACCCGTGTGACCACTAGTCATGGCGGCCCCCTCTTCAGATGCTGCTCCCTCCCCCACCTCAGATGACCCGAATTAGCCAGAGAAGGATGCAGCCGTGTGCAGGGGATCGGCCCCGTATTTGGGGATTAAGTTGAGCTTGTGCAGGGGCTGTGGAGATGTCACTTGAGTTTGTTTGGACGGTCCTGTCCTCTGACAACTTTATCGGACTGTGCGTCTCATCTCTGCCCTCTGCGGTGCGAGAGCACCAACTCGTCTCCTCTGTCTTCTTTTTCTCCTGCGGGAAACCGCCACCAAGTGATGTTCCTTGTTTAATAGATGAAACTGATTTTGAACCATCTAAGAGAGAGTCATTCCTTTTAAAGCCAACCCCTTATTTCCTCCGGACAGTTTAAATCCCTGTTTGGCCTCTTGAGTTTTATAATAAAGCAGCGACCTGACAATAACCCCATCTCGTAGAAGACTCTAAATCTAAATTGAACTCTAAATTTATAGCCAAACTGATTTTCAAATTTCAGGAGAATGTGTATTTATGCTGGTGAGGTAAAGTAGAACAAAGTGATATATTGAGTGGAACGCACTGCTGAGTAAAGCCAGGAGCCTAAATTAGCTGAATAAAATATACCCGTTTCACGATCTCCTCTCTGACACTGACTGTAACTCATTGGGAGGAAAATAGGTCACTGTAATAGTCTGTACCCCCCCCCCCCCCTCCCCTCTTTTCAAATTCCATGGATCGAAGTATTTAGGCTTGCAAAACTAACTTATAAATCAAAGACTTTTCATACTATGAGTGAAGAGAAACAAAACAAAAACGTTGTAAATTTTATGGGTCGCAGGCTTGTTTTTACAGATGCTTTGTTTTCCCTCCTCTGAGCAGACCTCTGAGATCACAGCCTCACAACAACGGCAACACATTTATCGTTCATTACTTCTTGAGTAGCCCCATTTGTTCTGAGCGGGACTTCATGAGTCCAAGCGGGTGTTCTTTTGTGTCACAGCCCTACTAATGAGTCTAAAGTGCAGTGATTGAGTGGACGCAAAAGTCATTATCCGCCCTTAAAACAGCAACGCGTGCAAAAGATATACAAAATGTCACGAGCAAAGTGGCTTAATTGCTGCACCATCAGTAATATCAATTTAAGCACGCAGACTGCCATCAGACAGAACAGCCCCAATATCAAGAAAGAGACATCTAAATGGGGTGAGAAGACTATAATTTCAGATTAAAATATTCTCTGAAGCTGATAATTAGCATACAACTCAGACGTGGGATGGGTTCTATAGCTGTTAACATTTCACTGCAGTGCAAGTGTTTATATTCAACAGGATCTGTCCTGGTGGATACATTACATTAGTTGCTAATTTTCCACATGAGACAAACAATTTCTGGCAAAAGTAGAATGTTGCATCTTTTACTCCTTTAATCCCCTGAGCTCACACTGCTCAGTAGCTCTTATAAATCGCATATAGATACTAGATAATACAGCCATGTTATCAACTGGAAAGGGGATGTGCCAACTGCCTTTAAACAACTACGTAAAAAGATCTCGTTGTCAAGCTGAATAACACAATGTCTCACAATGTTAAATCCCAAGCTGAAATTGTGGTTTGATATAAATAGATTATCACTTAATGTAAAGAAAACCAAATGTATGGTCTTTGGTAAAAGTAACACACAAGCAAACACACACTGTGAACTAATGATCGATAATATAAAAATTGAAAGGGTGTTTGAATACTCCTTTCTAGGTGTAATGATAGACCACAAGCTCAGCTGGAGGCCACAGGTCACTCGTGTACAATCAAAATTGGCAAAATCAAAATGTGTAGGGATACTAGTCAGAGTCAGACATATATTGAATATACAATCACTGCATACACTGTACTGTACACTGTTTGCCCCCTATTTGAGTTACTGTGTGGAAGTGTGGGGTAATACCTACAAAAGCACCCTACAGGCAATATGCACAATTAAAAAAAAAGCAATACGGATAGTTAATAAGGTGGGGTACTATGAACACACAAACACATTATTTCTGAAATTAAATATATTAAAATTTATGGACTTGAAAGATTTTAAAATGTTACAGATTGTATTTAAAGCAAGAAACAGCCTACTCTCAGGAAACATTCAAAGTTGGTTTAGCGACAGACTAGGAGACTATAATTTAAGAGGGAGACTGAAACTGAGGCAACCAAAGGTGCACTCTACACTCAAAAGCAGGTGCATATCGGTCTGTGGGGTGAAGTTGTGGAACAACTTACCAGATAAGATCAAAGATTGTAAACATATTGCACAGTTCAAAAAACATCTTAAATTATACACATTAGCCAAATATGAGATCTGTGAAAATATTAAGTGAAGGAAATTTAAATTGTATTTATTTGTGCGTGTGAGTATGCGTGCGTGTGTGTGGGTGAGAGTGTGTCTGAGAGAGTGTGTGTATGTATGTATGATATTAATCTTCAAAGTAATATATACTAATTGAGAATATGGATAAGAAAGGGGTGGGTATCTATAAGCTTTTGCTTCCCCCTACTCCTTTTCTTGAACAAAAGGTGTATTTTCTCATTTTGTGGTCTACGTCTATGTTGATTTTTAAATTTTTTATTATTTGGTGTCTACATGTTCAAGAAATAAAATGCTTCAAATCAAATCAAATTACCTAATTATATATCTGTGAAGGGCTATCATGAAGTTGATGTTAAATTGATGGCTTTGCAGGATGTACTGTACTTAATAATGGGCCTGTATCTGGACAATAATTTGGGCACAACACAACCTGGTCACATGTGAGTAATGGGCTGTTCTCAGTTGTTGCTAAAGATAGGACTTTGTATTGGACATCGGATATTGTTCAACCAGACCAAAGTTTTTTTCATACTTTGTGTCTTTGTTTCTGTCCTTACAGCCAAACCTTCACACACTGACGTGTTCCGACCATCTTTT